ATTAGAAATCTCTTTATGTAAAAGATTACAAAGAGACAGATAATGCCTTCATGGCAGTTTTATAGAAGACTCAGTTGTTGGTTTAAGGCAGTGTATAATATCAATACCCAGAGATGCCCTGGGCTGCTTTCCTGAATTACATTTTAAATTCTAACTCATGGTATTTCTTTGGGATGCAAAAAGTTTTCATAGTACTTATGAGGGATGATAATACTTACCCATCCATTTTTTTTGTTTTCTTTGGGTAAGCGTTAAGCTACTAGAGCCTCACCATTCAACTTCTTAGCTCAGTCGTAGTCTGTAAAGTTACTCACTGTCCTGGTGAAACAAGTCCTCTAGCCATCTTTGCAATCTCTGATGCTTGACATTTCCCTTATACAGGGAACCACTGATTCAGATTCCTGATCAGAAATTTCACTAGGTTACTTTCTTCAACTTTTAAAAACAAAATAAATAATCCTGTTCAGAACAGACGTCTTATTATAGGACAGTGGTTCTTAAGGTGTGGTCTTGGACCAGTAGTATCAGCATCACCTGGCAACTTGTTAGAAATGCAATTTCTTAGGTCTTGCCCAGAACTACTAAATTAGAAATCTTGAGTGTAGGGCTCAGCAATCTGTGTTTTAACCTGTTTCCTAGGTGATTTTGATGCATAGTAAAGTTTGAGAATCAATACTTTAGGAATTCTCAATGGCCTTTGGATGTGCTCAGTTGGAGCAGAAGTTCTCAGAATTTGCTGCTGACTGGAGTTGTACCTGGAGAACTTTAAGAAATAATGCCTAGGTCTTGGGCAAACAGACTGAATCAGTTGACATGGAGTATGGCATGGCATCAGGATATATAAAAAGCTCCATGGATGATCGCAATCTATAGCAAAATTTGATAATTACAGAAATGGGATGTACTGATGTTGAGATTATATATATTACAACTTTTGGGTTTGGATACTAGATAACAATAGCAAAAACCTTGCTATACTCTACAAACACTTCTAGATTTGCAAAAGTCTTGCACATGTAATCGCTTAATTTTTACAATAAGGGGAGTAATGGCATCCTCTTCCAGCTGATAAATGCAGACTCAGTAACTTGCTAAAGATACTGAATTTAAATTTGAGATCCAATCACATAGCTTACCTTTGTGTGACAATTTAAGTAACGCTTCTGCCTAGGTAGCTATGTTTGGGTAAGAAAGGCATTTGTCCTCTCATTAGATGCTGAGCACACTCAGCACATTTGGTTATTTTGTAGTCTGGCTCAACGAGGCAGTTGAGAAATCAGACTTAGATGCAGATGAACACTTGTGAAAGTCCCTCTGAAATAACTTTTAGTTTAGCCTTAATGGTTTTCTAATTTGTGAGCCAATCATCTGGATAAATGCCAAATTAACTGGATAATTGCTCAAGCCTGCACCTCACTTTAATTGGACCATCAGTTACTTGATGCTGTTTGAGTTTTCTGCCAGGGTCAGATGTCCTCCATCAGACAGGGTGGGAGAATTCCCTTAACACTGGACCATTAGATAGAATTTCCTCAGGACACAGTGCAATAGTGGTTACCAGAGGCTGGTGGAGTAGAGAGGAGAGAAAGATGTGGGAAAGGCTAATCAATGGGTACTAAATCACAGATGGGGTAGAAATTCGTAGGGTTAACTATGATAACAGTTGTGCACTGTATGTCTCAAAAGGTTAGAAGAAAGGTTATTAAATGTTCTACTCATGAAGAAGTGATAAATGTTTGAGATGATAACTGTTTAAACTCATTCAAACAGTATACACACATATATTGAAACATCACTCGGTACCCCTTAATAAGTACATTTTTTAAAAAAATGTTTTAATGAATCAGTTATAAAAGAAAGAAAGAATTCCCTCAGGACAAGCAATTTCTGTTCCATACACAATCCTGGCAAAGTCAGGTCATACTCAAAAGACCTCCCGGAAGATACCCACTTGTTCTTAGGGACATCACATTACATTGTGAAACTAAAAACACTGTAATAAACTAGTTATGCTGCCTTCTGTGATTCAGATAAACTGGAGAAAGTAAGCAAGCATTTTGGTTGGCACACTATCTTGACCTGTGTAGAGAATGCTATTGGTACTTTCAAGTAGCTTCTATTTTCTGGGCCAGCAGCTGGGAATGTTGGGTGCTTCCCACCTCCAGCTTCCCCCTTCTCTGAGAGATTTGCCCATTCCATTTTATCACCTAGCCCCTTCACCTTCACCACTACCAAAGGGGTAGGCCAGGGATTAACTGGTATTGATATTTAAATAAGGCCAGCCTCCTTCCCTCCTTCCCTGGAGGTAAGAATAACCTCAGGTGCAGTCTATGTTTCAATAATTTCCTTTCTCCATTAGATCTAGGCTAGAGTTTATTTAACTGAGACCTTGTCCTTGCTGGGCTTTTCCTTCTCTCTTTTTTTCTGGCTTCTTTTATTGATTTTTTTTTTTTCCCCTAGAGAATGCTCATTCAATGATTATAAGTATCTGAATCCTTGCCTCAGGCTCTGCTTTTGAGAAGTAGATGTCCTATATTCCATAATTATATATGCAGCATAGCATTCGATATCAAGCATGACAGAAAACTTCAAACCTTGCAATTCAATCAGAAATTCTAGTCACCAAGATGATAGTTGAACTAAGTGTACACAAATACTAAACATGAGTAGAAATATTACACTAGAAAGGTTATTTTTAACAAAAATATCTAACTTTGTTATCATTACTTTTTAAGTTATTAATAGAAGATTCAAGTTTCCCCATGATTATAAGATTGTATTCACTCCAATTCCAATATATCTTCATGAGTAGAAGAGAGGGACAGGATGATGGCTGTCACCCAGGAAACTATGCTATATCCCAAAGATGTCCATACAGTGTGTTACCCAAGTGAACTTAATCTGTAACATAGATTAATACAGGAAAAAAGATTGGGGATCAGTTGCATTGGGGATCATAAAACATGATGAATTATAATTGGTCAGTTACAAACAAGGACATTTCTATTTGATGTAGTTATAATTAGTCCTATTAATAAACTGACCTCAAGGTAAATCTTTCTAAGGCCTTTTCCCACCCAGTAAGTAAATCACCTAGCACCTCGGTTTAATTATTTAGCAGATTCAATCCATTAAATATAGACATGTTACATATATATTCAATGCCAAGATAGAGCACATAAAATAAGACCAAGGGAAAAGTCAATTAAATATAGGCTTCCTGACCATTTCTTATTCATGACTGGAGGGCTGTTATCTAGCATACATGGAATCACCTCTCTAGCACTGAGAAATCCTAACATTTGCTCAATAGCTGGAACCAGCATAATTTTTTTCCTTATGGAGAAGCATCTTGTTTCATTTTTCAACCTAACCGCTAACATAGTTAATAACAAATCTGTTATTTGACCCCAAAGAGTCAAAGTATTATTATTCTGTAAGAAACAAAGTGTCTTGTGGAATACAACATTACAGCTTATTCCAGTTAGTCAAATGTTAACTTATTATGTATTTATAAATAGTCAACTGTCTTCTCCCTAGAGGGGGACTTCTAAGGATTTACCCAGTCAACACTTCCCTTTAGTTCACTTGAAATCTATTAATGTGAGGTTTTGGAAGGGAAAAATGGAATATTAAATAGGGATTTTCTAAGCTTATCATTTAAGAATATCTGAAAATGGTTACTGACTTAATTTCCATCTTCCTTTATCATTTCAGCTCTGCCTATACATGCTTTATGCATGTGAGTCAAAATTTTTGAAAAAAACATACAGGATTCTCTATGCATAGGACACTTTACTTCCAAAATGATGGTATTAAGAGGTAGAGCCTTTGGAAGATGATTAAGTGATGAAGGTGGAGCCCCCCATGGGTGGGATTAGATCTACATGCCAGGCACTGAGAAGGGAAGAGTCAGGACATTGACACTGGACAAATAAACAAGGCATGCAAACCCATTCCCTTTGTGTGCTGTATTCATAATTCCTGTATTCATAATTCTTCCATAATATTCTTGTAAAGGAGAACTACTGCTGATATCCTCTAAAATAGAGGAGTGCCAGTACTTTTCTTTTAGGGTTTTTAGTTTTTATTCTTATCCCTTTTTGCCTTCAAAAAATAAAGATATTTCTATTATATATATATATATATATATATATATATATATATACACACACACACACACACACACATTGTTAGCTTGGTGTTTTGAAAAATGCCTATAGAGTCATCAATTTACTCAACACATGCTTTCAATTGTCTCTTTACTTAACTCATTAGCCCATTTTATAATATCTCAAGCCCATTTACTTAACAACCTCATTCTTTCCTTCATTTAATATGAGGGCCGACTATGTGCTTCAGTATTGCATTCAGTCCGGGGATACAATGAGGAGTTAAACCTTGACATCATGGAGAAGTTAAGGTGCAGTGGGAGAAAAAAAAGAGGGAAAGCACTGCAGGTAGGATCAGTGTGTGGTGTGGAGGAAGAGAGGGTGACAAAGATGCAGAACAGAGAGGTCTGTGTGGTTGAAGGGCAGGGAGGAAGCAACACATGGATGCTCCTGAAGGACAGACCATTAGTGCATCATCTAGAAAATTCAGATGTGGAAGAACAACAGCTTGCTGTGGAAAAAAGCCTTTTCAAATCAAGTCCTTTCTTACACCCTCCAAACAGGAGTTTGTACCAAATCAGAATGATCACAGCAGACTCTAAAATATTTCAGATACTTTGCTTAAGTTGGGAGAGTGGTCGATAGCAGAATAAAAATGAGTACCAAGGGAACCGTCTTGCCCATTGTAAGCATCAGGAGAGGCTGATTTATAAAGTGGTCTCTTCTTGTTGCTTGTAGACTACCTTACTTGTTTCTCAAGCAATATCTTCAGCCTAAAGATTTCTTTACACTTTCTCTTGGATAGAAACAGTTATACTTGGCAAAGAACTTGTTACTTTAGTGATTTAAAGAGTTTTTATTTTTTTTCTTTCCAGTATAAAGACTTACCTATTACACTAAGCTCTGCATTGGAAAATATAACTCCATGTTTGTTCTCTGCCACACACTGATACATGCCTGCATCTGAAAGATTCACTACTGTTATGTTGAGTGTTCCTTGCTCCATTTGAATTCTATCCTGTGAAAGAAAAGAGGGACACAAAAAACAATGACCTTCCACATCCGAGACCTTCAGGCAATTTTGCTACATGCTATATCAAGGGGGCTTAATGGGAAGAAAATAGTCATCATATAAGCTATTTACATAACATGATCTATTTATCTGTCAACTAAATTTGTGGCAGGTCAGATGCTACGTGGAACAACTAGTACATCAGTTGGTAAATGGAATTTAAGTGGTAGGATTCTCTTGAGTTCTCACTGATTTAATAGTGAAACTATTCAGATTAATAGGCCCTATAAACAGATGAACTTGAAATTTAAAATGCTTTTTTTGCTCTAAGGCTTATGGCAATTGGGGAGGGATAAAAATATAACCAAATTTATTGTTTAAAGTTTAGAACACTGAAATAATGATCAGGAAACAATTTGAGGGTTCACAGGATTATAATCTCCTTAGATGAGGCAGAGGCAAATATTTAATACATGTTGAGGTTTACCAAAAATAATTATTAATAATTCATGCTCCTGTACTTTGTTATTCTTGATGATAGGATTTAGACTTAGGATCGTCTGCTAGGGATCATCATTTACACTTAGATCATCCAATCTGAAGGAAGGATTTACAGTGTGTTGGCAGAAGAGAACTTTCTTATTTGTTATCCTGAAGACATACAACTTGAGTATCAATTTCCATTAGTATCAAAAAGGATCTCTTCCTTTCCAGGAGATTTGCCATTAAAAATATAGTGCGCGCACGTGTGTGTGTGTATGTGTGTACATGTGCACACACACAAAGAAAATAAGTGTTTGCTGCATCGCTACAATTTACTTGAGTGGACATTTTATGAGGCTTTGACCAAATCTAAGCATCCATGGTCCCTCACATAAAGAGAGGCAAGTGTCAGTTACCTGGACACCTACATTCTAGCAATTTGAGTTTGGCTTTTATAATTGAGGAAATGATGGCCCTCAGAAGCCTTCCAGGGAATGGGGGAAGAAGCGTAAGACAGGGGGTAGTGAAGAAAATAGTCCCCCTTTTCTTCTGTTGCCCAGAGCAGGCACTCTTTCTTTCCTAGGTATCTTAGGTGGGAAAGAAATCTGAGCATGAAAAACTGTGTCTTAATGTGGGGCCTGAGGAAAATGTTAAAGTCTAGTTAAAATTTGAAGTGTGGTAGGAAAACATAATAAGGAAAATTAAATTGGACACAACTGTTCCTCATTCTGTGTACCTCTCTCTGCTTTGATCAGATTTTTTTTTTCCTGTCAAAGTCTTATTTTACTTAGATGGGCATTCCTGTATCATATCAATACTCCTCTTGTGGATTCTGGGATAGATGTGTACTTTAGCAAAGTTATGCATTCCAGACCTATTTAACTTTCCCATTCTAAAGCCACAAATGTTAATCTGTGAAGTCCAAAGATCTAGTATAGAAGGTTAGCCAAATACGGCCAGAGAATTGCATTTATGTATAATTTCTGTTTACCAACTTCATTCACTTTCACTTTTTCTACTATTAATGGCATTTAGTTGCCTATTATTTTGGAAATGACTCACCATTTTCCTGTTTCCATAGCAATGAGGCCACATAAAACATTACCATCCATACTAAGACCCAATTAACATCAATTTACTTACCCGAGTTAACAGTGGTTCACCATTTTTTAGCCACCTGTATGTAGGCTTGGGCCTCCCATTTGCTTTACAGTCCCAAAAGACATTTTCTTCCATGGCCACATGGATATCACTTATTTTTTGAATCCAATTAGGTTGAGCTATAGCAGTTAAAAAATCAAAGAAAATGCATATATTCAGTACACTCAATCTGTTTTTATCATATGCAATCATGGGGCAAAACAGGCTTTTAATAGAGATCTTTGTCCACATGTACAGGACAGAAATTTAGGGGGTACGTATACCCTGTTCTCAATAGTATGCTTGTGGTCCATGTTGTTGGTCTTTTTTAACCATCAAAGGCAGAATGGATAAAGTTTCCATTAACCATACATCAAAATCAACTGTCCCTCTCCCTCAAGTGTCTGTTATTATGTTTTCTTTTTAATAGGAAAAACTCCTCAAGACCATCCCACTTTTGGCTGGGGTCATAAATTCCCATTTACTACCACTGTCCCAGATTCTTCTGCATTAAGAGGCTACCATGTGACTAAGTTCATGCCAGTTGTATATGTATGAAAGTAGAGAGGGCAACTCTGGGTTATTTACTTAGAGATACTTGCACTGGATTCTTCTTGCCTCTTCACACTCATTGGAAAATGGTGGTATGTGAAATAGCCTTGCACACAGAGATAGAAGCTAAATGGGATGGCACTGCTTACCTGCAATCTTGGACCTTGAATGACCTGTGGAGCATAGCAGCCCCAGACACACTGGCATATTTTTGTAGACATGAGAGAAATTAGCTTTATATTTAAGCCACTGCATTTTGGGATTTCTTTTGTTAAAGTAGCTTATCCTCTCCTTAACTAACACATATAATTTTCTCAGATTTTATAGACAAACTTTGTGTCTCCTTTCTCCCTCAAGGCTATCACTGTTCTCTTATTGATTGAATCCATAATGATCGAATGCCATCCACAGAAGTATGGCCCCAGAAGCCCAAATCCCTGAGTGAGTACATCAAGTTCTGCCCATAGTCTAACAGGAGTTCGAAAAGCAGTTCTTACATTGCCCACTCCTAAACACCACCCCACTACCCCTCATTGTACCACATTCTTCATGCTTCAATTGAAGCCATGGTCTTTTGTTCCTTCCCTGGTATCAATGGATATAAAGAAGATGGTAATTCCATGTCCATAAAATTCTTCAGAAATATCAAAACTTGCCTCAAGCACAGTTCATGCTGTTAACTATAATGGTAAATATATTAGATAGAAGACCTTTTGCCCAAATTCATGTAAAAGATAACCATAGCTATCATTCAAGAATCTTATCTGTTCACAGGACATTTCTATGGGTAACGCCTACTGATGTAATTTCAGTAATCAGTGTTGATATTAGTATTTAATTAGAAGATGCTACTCGATATTCTTAATATGTCTCTTAACTGACTTCACCTCAATATCTTTGTTCAGTAAGGCTTCAAGTCATTTGTAATGTAATTCAAAAGGAAAATTGCTAGTGTTGAGGCCAAGCTGTGTCTCTCACCTTCTCAATAATAAACAAAACTAGAAAAACATTCAATGAGTCACTTAACCAGCAGAGGTCTCTAGGTCCTTAAATAAATGCTGCTTTCTTCTTTTGCCATCTATAAGCAATTTCATGTTTTTCAAAAAGCAAAACACAATTTTATAAATCCTCTACTGATGGGGATGATGCATGGCTGTATAAGAGGGGAGGCCAAAAGGGTCAACTTCAAAAAAAGTTATAACATCAACAAGCATTAACTTGAATGAAGGGTTATAACCTACATCCTTGAAAGAGCTACAAGTCTGCTACTGTTCTATGTCATCCTGCTGCTAATGCACAGAGAGCTCAAAAGGCAATACCTTTCCAGAGCTCTACTGGGAGAATCCAAAGTGCAGCCCTGATATGACTAATAGTAGTGTGTACCTGATTTTACATTCAACCTGCTGAATATTTACCCCCTATGGAGTCTGGAAACAAAGCAAACAATAAAAGTACAGAAATCTGTGTGGAATATTAACAATGAAGCCAACTTTTGAAAGAGAGTGAGGAAAAAAAAAAGGAAGGACAAATATAACTTATGAAGCAATGTCAAGTTGAAGTTCAAAAAGGAAACATCAAAATCACATGCAGAGACATGAATTTCAATGTCATAGATTTCCTGCAACACTTGGGCTTATTCTTTGCTTTCTTTCAAAAAATATAGAGAGCTGGAAGCAAAATCTTGCCATCTCAGAATTTTAAAAAGACCTTGCAAAGTTGAAACTAATTAGTTACTGCAGAGGACTCATTCTGTCTTTTACAACAAGGTTATGGAGGTCAAGGTGTTTGACAAGAATATACAATGGTAGTTCTTCCTGTTGGCCAAGGTGAAATCAACAACTACTTTGGTGTTTGCAAACCATCATCAGGTAGTTTCTTTGTTTTTAAAGTAAAATCAACTCACAGAAGCTAAATTTGACATAATATAAACATACTCCTCTTGAAGTGAATATGTTTATATTATGGACATGATGGGCCCATGGAGGTCAAGAATTTAATATTCAAGCAAAGGCACAGAATGAGGTAGTCTTTATTTTAATGTGTCAACTGCAGATCTACAGGGAAAAAGCATCATAGTTACAGTTTTCACTCCTACTCACTTAGATTAGATGAATCATGTATCTAAGAGGGTGAGGATTTTTTTTACATTAGAATAAAGTCCTGCGCTTGCTAGAAATGTTTCATATATTTCCATATCTCTTTGGATCACCATGTTCAAAGTTCTTGGATAAAAACATTTCGTTTTAGTGCATTATAAAACATATCATCTGTACCTCTTTTTGATAATGCATCTGGGAATATGCTGGCACTTACTATCAAAGTTGAACTACATTTTCCAACTCCATGTTAAAATACAAGCTCAAGCTCAGAGGAAGGTTTGAGCAGGTTGGTTCAGTACTATTATCATACATTCCTCAGTAAGCTCTCTTTGGTAATGTATGTACTTCTCACGTATTAAACAGAATTAAACAAATTCATATATTAAAGCAGGAATGTCTGTTTGAGACTTTTGCATTCTCTAAAGGTTTTAAACAGAAGAATCTCTTCTCTAAGACACCCAAAATCTTATCTCATGTTATAAATTCAAGTATATTCAAGTATATAAATTCAAGGTATGCTGAGATTTGACCCTGTCATACTGCTAAGTCTGTTAGACAGATGAACAATCACTTCATTTCAATCTTCTGTTCAATAACTGCCAGAAATGCCCTGAATCAATGTTTGTGTATCCCAGCCACTGAAATCATACAAGCATCTTATCCAATAATAATTTATATTTCAAGCAGATATAATTTGAGCTCAATGGGTCAAACAATTCTCAGATGTGTCTGGCTTTCTACTTTTCCAATACCAGAAGTTTTTAACAGAAAGAAATGCGAGCATGGACCTCAATCCTTAGAGACTTAAAAATCTAAGAGAAATGACAATGATGCCAAAACTCTTTAAATAACTAGTTCAAAAATTGACAATTACATTGTCAATACATTAACAACGATCTCATTACTTATACAATCTTAGAGAAAATGAATCATTTCTGGGAAATATGGGTAACATTAAGAAGTTTTTTGGTAGTGGGTTTTATAAGCCTGGAAATAATAATTGTCTACAGTTTTCCACTTAAATACAGACCCTTTCAAAATCTTTATATTCACCCCGGGATTCTAATATTGTTATGCTAATAGAATTATCAAGATATTATCAATTTACCTCTAATACAATGTTTCCACTATAAACATTTTCTATTGTGATTTCTCAGAATTCATAATTACAGATTTTTCTTAAGCTTCAGACTTTCAATTTACAAACATTAGTAGAAGAACGTATCTGTTTTGTAAGGATCCACATATTGCAGGGTAGAGTAATAACGCTGACCTTTGCTCAACCATGATAATTTCTACTTGTCTGAATTCAAGCTCTCATCCATTCCCCACAAAACACCAATCATTATCCACACAGGGGTTTTCAAACACAATTCTATGAATCTTTGAGGGTTCTTGGAAGATGCCCTCTTCAACTTGAGCAGCCTTTCATTGTTTTAAATACTGAACATTTCTTATAAATTCTCATTAGTTTGTAAAAAAGTGGATTTGATGATTTAAACATATACATGCTTTGAAAAATACTATGTTGATATGATATAGAAGAGCTTTGGACATGGAGCTTGGAGATTGAAAGCCTAAAATTTCTCCTTTGATTTGAGGGAAGTTTGAACCTGATAATGTCTAAAGTTCCTTCTGACTTTAATTTGTGAAGACTAGCCTTTAGATTGCCAGTTAAGCCAATGGATTCATGGTTCTCCTGGTTTTTCTGTTATCCATAGACTCCTGTTTAAGATTTCTTTGTCTCTATGTAAGTTACAATTGGCTTTTGCTTCTGGCAATGACAGAGGAGGTACCATCGGCTCATCCCTATTGCAGATAACAATGATAAACTCTGAACAAAATATAAAATTTGACTATGTGAAGATGTACTAGAAGGTAACCCAGTGTAGACATATTTCTATTAATATGTATTCACCAACAAATAAAACAAATATGATTATAGAAAGTAATCTGTATGTGAAATAATGGGTAAAGTTTGTAAATGTGTTTCGTATGTTGTGAATGTTATACAAAATAAGCGACCACAACCATTGTTTCTTATCTTTAGGTTAATATTTAAAGTCCTCTACCATCTGGTCTCACCAAGTTTATCTATGTCTCCCAACTTACACCCAGTGAAGCCTCAGTTCTTGTCGAATAGAAGTGTTTGTCCTCAGTTCTAATAAGCCAATTCTGCCTCCATGCCTCTGTTTTTACCATCTTATCTTTAGCAATTCTCCTCCCTTCATCTCCTAAATGTTACTTTGCAGTACTACCTCCTCCATGAATTTTTCCTGACCTGTCAATTGCAATCCTCCTGAATGTGTTTAGCTTACTTGGCACAAGCAGCATAATTGTTCTATACCAACACTTGTATTATTTTCTTATGCTTTTGTTTAGCTGTTTTTCAGTTGCTAACCAACTTCAAAAAGTGCATATTTTTCTCTTCCTAGGGATGCTGTAGTCAATTCAGAAATTTGTAAATGTCATAGAATTAAGAAATTTAA